ATTAAATTTACAAATATAGAATAAATAAAGTTTACAGCTACTGTTAAAGTTATTATTTTCATTAACACATTTTTGCCCATCACTGAAATAAATGATGTCAGTTGAAAAAGAAGATTTTTTTCGATGTTCTGTAAATAGAAAAAAAATATCTTTCATCAAAGAAGGTATACTAACGGTATCAAATATAAATTAAAGATAAACAGACTATGATACATTATTACTCATCATCAACCAAGCTTTGTAAAGTACATGTAGATTATTCGTCATCGATTACTTTCATAGCTATCACATGATCATAATAATAAGATAAAACAAATAATATTATTAAAGCGATAATGTCCTAATACGGAGGGGGTTATAAAAGTACGTTGTATCTGTTGCTCTGCATTGCTATTCAGTAACAACAACAACAAGTATACAGAGGTATGTGAAGCACCCAAAAAGTAGTGGCAGTAATACTTTAATAGTGTATAGTAAACTTTACGAAACTGTCTGTTTATATACAGGTGTAGTATAAACAAAGTCCTACTTTTCTGTGGTATTTGATTATTCTTCAACTAATATCATACTAATATAATTTCTATAAGAGCTATTTCTCTATAATATATGACGATTATACTAATATTAATTTAAAAGAATAAGGCAATTGACTATTGTTTTTTTGAATAACTTCTGAAAGAGATGAAATAGAGAGCTGCGGATCTGATCGTTCCAAAGAGCAGATTACAATGTAATAGAATCGTAACATTATACATTTTTTTTGACATGATTTTTTCCATTTTTTCAATAAACCCATTTGAAAACAAATCTATCCCGTACGTTGTTTACAGCAAATTTTCAATGGTCACAGGTATATCCAAATCGTAAATGGAAGATCTACAAAACTATATATTCTGTGAACAACGCTTTTTTCAAACTACATGCAAGGAACATGATTATATACAATCCGATGCATCTTTGTCTTCTCTTTCACACGATGAAAACCACAGCTCTTTATTACTTTTCTATCAGAAGTTATTCAAAAGATATCTATGCCATCTTTTAAATAAGTATCATTATAATCATGACATACAACAGACAAACAGGTCTTATCAAAATTTTAATATTAAGATATGAATTGAAGAAAAATCAAATATCACAAGAAAAACGGAAGATTGTTTGTATTATGCCTTTATATAAAAAGAAACTTTCCTAAAGCTTATCATACGGTACTAAAGTATGACTGCTACTATTTTTGGACTCCTATAAGTATTTTACCTTATAGAAAGTGCAATACTTATCGGCGAAACTGATAAGTGATATATAACTCGAATCAACATCTTTGTTTTCATACTTGTCTAAGAACAATTCGTTTTTAATTAGGAGCAAAATCACGTAATAATTTGCTTTTATTTAAAAATAAATTCACATTTTCCATGTAATAATTAGAAACAAATTATTGCTAGTGGACAGATCGATATCATGTGTGTTATAACGGAGTTCGTTCTTTAAAAATGTTATACATGATGTAATGTATCAAAATAAGTGAATGCTTTTGAAGTCTTTTCAGAGTGACAAAATGGAATCATTTCCAGTTGACATTGGTTGTAAATCGACCATAACTATACATCTTTAACCCATTATTATTCGATTGTAAATCGGTTTTAATCAAAGATTATCAAAATAGTCGATGAAAGTTGTAATCTTTTTGATTATTTTTTTTCTAATTCTTATAAATTTTAGTTTTATGTGGGAGACTAGTGATTTTTACTAAGTCTTATTATAATGTATGCACTAATGACTTCTCCTTAGACATCAGAAAGTGATTGTCAAAAGCATTTCTATGCATAAACGAATTAACATTTTGAATTTTCAGAGTAGAATTCAGAGAAAACCAATTATTATTCCACCACTAGGAATATATAGGCTGAACATTTTTTATGTTGTTTTTGTTGCAACATAACTCAACACAACTTCTAACAGCATAATATTGTTTTCCATTTTACACATCATTCATACACTATGCTAAACTTGAAGAGAAATAAACATTGATAAAAAGAATACTATTCAAAAGACATAAGCTAAAAGATCTTTACTTTTCTGTCTGTTGCTAAGAGATTGGTATTATAAACTACGTTGCAATTGAGGACAATCACAAACTCTGCAACTTCCTTGACTCGACTAGACTTCAATTAAAGTTGAACGTAATATGTTACGTATGTCACAGTTGACACAAGAATTAGTTGAATTTGCAATGTACGAATTAGATTTTAAATTAATTTATTAAGAAAAAAAAGCCATATGAATAAAGCTTTATAAACAAGATGAACTGATGATTTAGATAAGAGCTCTCAAAATAAAGTCATATTAAACACAATAAATAAAAAATTTTCATATCTTTTCTGGCTTCTTTTCTGTTATTGATAGAAAAACAACAAAAAATTCTTGTAAACACATACATTTCAGTTGGCGTTTACTGAAAATAGGGATCGAGTGCTTTTTATCGTAGAGCCATTTTAGAGTTGTTGATCTGTTTTTTTTTAGTTTAAGTCAATTCTGATCGCTTTTTCATTCGATAAATTTTGTCATCTATCTTATTTCTACTTTGATACTATCAATATGAGCAACAAAGCCAAAAAAAGGAATAAAATGTTAACTGATATGTTATCAATAAGTCCGAGCCGAGATTCGCCAAGAACGATTAGAAATCATAAACTATTGTCTATATTACTGCTTAGACAATAACTTTTACTTTTAACTTGATTGGTGCATACAATCATTCGTTATATTCTAATATCATAGTTATGAGTTACACATGTAGTGCAATGTACCATTCATTTCTAAAATTGTTCACATCAATTTCTTGTTCGTGTAAATGAATAATTTGAAAAAAAACAACATTGTCTTGAAAAACTTTCACGAATCTTTCAGTATTTCTATGTCCTTGAGATGAAAAAGAATACAGAATGTTCCAAAAGTTCGTCGGGAAAAGAACGTGAATAACTTTTGAACAATTCAACCGATACATGTAAGATTTATATTATTTTATTTGATCTTCTTTAAAGTGTCGCTTTTATATAGATGCAGGTTCAGGTTTTGGTGAATGCGAATTCAGTTAGGTCCAAATTCGAGGTTTTTGCCACCAATATCTGACACTCTTTGTATACATGAATAAGTTAAGGATCAAAGTATTAGCTATTTATTCGCTACTCTGAGAAAAAAATTCAATGTACAGTTGTATCGTAGTACTGTACTTCTCATATGAGGAATTGCGTGTTCACAAAAATGTGTAACTGGATCCGACAAAGAGTAGAATGTTGGACCCGTAATTTCCTGATTGTTTTACGAAATTCTATTTGATGTTGACTTTCCAAAGTATTTATATGAAAATGGAACTCGTGACTCTACTGTTTTCGAGTTTTTGATAAGTCAAAGAGTAGATAGAATTATATTTGTGACAATGCTCGTTCAAGGAACTAAACTAGTATGACTCACTTAGTTCTTTTGAAAAGAACTGGAATTGATTACCAATCCTTTTTTTGTCCATATGAAAAGAATTGGTCGGTGACTCTAGTTCTCAAAAAAAAAGAATCGGTTCATCGAGCTGTGAGTTGACACAGATCTAGATACAATTTTTATTGAAATCGTTACCGTTTTCTCACCGATTCCTTATGTTAACTGAACCTGATCTCCATTAGATACTTGGTAGACATTGCCTGTTATGTGTTAATATAAGGAGAACCCAAGAGATAGTAAGTCCAATGAATGTGATACTCATCAAAAAGAGTCATCTCTATGAATTTGCATACTAGATGAAAGTTTTTCTACAAACTGATGTACTTCATCGTTGAAATGCGAAGACACTTCATTTTGGTGAATAGCATACTGATTTCCGTCATAATCCTGAATGGGATTGTAAAACTATTTCAAATAACTAGAACACTTCCGATCGATATATTTTCACTAGTAATATGAGCTGCATCGACTTATTATTCTGTTATTACAATAGTGTGTCAGAATACGACTAGCTCACTCAAGTATCGCTTTTGTTGCAATTGTTAGAGATCTCTCTCATACCGTCTTCATTTATAGTTTCTGTGTTAAATTGAACTGGTATGATTCGTTTTATAATCGTAGATGACTCGGATTCGACCAACAATAACATTGTTTCGATTCTAATGCTTAGAGACATACGTATTTGATCTGAACTATATTTAATAATACTTAAAGGAACATCAAAGGAACTTGTAGAAAATTCATGCAAATCGCTTGAACTGTTCAAGTGCTATTCACGGTTTTTATCACGACGAACTTTTGCAACATCCTCTACATCGACTCCATATAAAGAAAAAACTATCTATCTATCTATCGATTATTGAATCTTACCAATCATTCAAGGTCTCTATTAATATATAGAATTAATAATATTTTATACGGTATTCTTATCTTCTTTGAGGTTTTTACATTTCGAAATCTTTAAAGAAAATTTGTTAAGTATTGCCTGATAATATATATATATATATACGCGTGAACAAGAAGTTAATCTATCAAGTTAAGAAACAGTAAATTCTATCATATAAAACTTACTATTACTATTTTAGACTTTCTGATATCATTGATGAATATGTTAACTGAAATCTTCTTAAATTTCGACATAGAAAGATAAATGAGTAGTATTGAGAATTTCTAGCATGATGTCTTCATTGAATTGATCTATAGTCTGTTTGCTATCGTTCAACTGCACCACAATGTCGTAGTTCATCACTACATCAAAAGACTATCCTTATATTTTTTTCATAACCATTGATAAAACTAAGTTGACCAGAATATTTAGTTATTAGAATAAAAATATGCTACTCTAATGTTTGCAAAAAATTAGTCTTTTGAACAATCCTATAAGATAGCAGATATGATATATTATTTATTAGATTTTTCACATTTGTGATTTGCACAAAACATAAATTTATATTATAGAAATTGATCAAGGACGCCATATTACTAATCAAGATCAAGTATATAGAATGACCATTATTTGTTTATTGATCCTAATTACTTTTGCTCTTGTAACAAATTTACATGGATTACCAATAGCAAAGGTTAGTTTTTATAAAGATAAATTTCCTTTCACGATAAATTATGTTATGTGGTTATTTTAATTAAGGATTTGCCGGGAAGAAAAAGAAGTCCTGAAGAAATTGGTAAGTATCATATCGAAAACGTCACTGAAATAAAATAAAGACAAATCAATTATATTGATTTTGGATGATCGTAGAATCTGTAAATTAAAATAATTTGACTGTTTAAAGATACATTACATGAGATTATGTCGTGTTGTTAGAATCTATATCCACTAGTATTTTTTTTTCTGAATGATTGTTATTATATGTTTTATTCATTTGTAATAGCTAATGTATCTTGAACAATAATATTGTTTTTAGTTTTAATTAGAAACTCTCCTCATTTAATCAAATAAAATTAGTTTAAATCTGATATTTTCTATGAGAATACTTTATCATCTACCCTTCAAAACTAATTTATTTGTGTTCTCACAAACGATAAATAGACATGATTGACTAAAGAATAATAAAAAAACTGATAGCTTTGTTTCATACAATGAAGAATATATATATATATATATGCTTACTTTTGATTTTTAGGTGGACATTTTGAAGGTGACATAATTATTCCTTCAATACCTGTAAGTTGAAAACTTATCTTCTGCTTATGTGCTCATATAAGTTTCATTTTTTCAAAAAAATCTAGAGAGGTGTGGCGATGATTGGTGATTATGTACGTTGGCCAAAAGGAATAGTACCATATACTATTTTATCGGATTTCAGTAAGTCTCGTTTTCAACATAGAAAAATAGTATTAGGTTTTCAAATGTAACATATTGAACAAGATATAATTGTTTGATATTTTAATAATATTGTTTTTCTAATATCTTGCTATCATATAATATATGAAGTATCGATTGACAAGATTATGTTTAATTATAGGTATTGCAGATCGAAATCTAATTATTAATGCTATGCGAACGTTGGAGAGTTTAACAGCAGTTAATAATGTACTTTGTGTACAATTTCGTGAAAAAGTCGATTCTGATGGACCATACTATATTACAATACAAAATGGAGTTGGTTGTTCATCTATCGTAAGTTATTTGTGAGAAATTTTTTATTTATATTTTAGTATATATTTCAATTTTTTGCAGATTGGACGATACACAGATTATACAGTGGATCGCACAATGATACTGGAAACTCCTAGTTGTCTTTACACAGGAATAGTTATGCATGAGTTAATCCATACATTAGGTAATACAACAAATTATTTTCTATTTGTTTGTCTAAATATTGCTCACTGTCTGAAAAACGGTGTTGCAGAGTAGAAAAATTCCTTTGTATAACAAACCAACTTTCTATATACTATCGACACAACAAGAAAACAATAAAACAAAATACACTGGTGTTCAGCAAACACTAAAGTTCTGTAGAAACGTAAATTACTTCTCCAGAAAATGTTTGTACAGCTTTCTACAGCGCGACAGTTGATGTTCACAAATTAGAGCTTGAACGAAATGAGATTCAAAAGTATTCATCTTGATGATAGTTTCAATTTTGAAAAGTCTTAAGCGGATCCTCTCCCCTCCCCCTCCCCCATAATGGACAGAGAAAAGGAGCCAGGAGAAATCTCTAAAATTGCTTTAGAGAATTACCTGGAAATTTTATGGATTATGCTTCGCATTTCACGCTTACTATCTGTGCTTATCGAGTCTGTTTCACTCATCAGATTACTGAAAAAAGGCGTTTTATTCAATTTTTCAATAAAATTCCATAGTCTCCCTCAGTTTACGTTGAAAGTTGACTTTTGAATGGTGGTTTAAAACTTTGCATGACTAATAGTCTCAATGGGTCTAATTCATTCTGAAAGTTTCAGCCTTTTCTGTTACTTCTGTTTTGTGACATGCATATTGAAAGTTCTGTTGTGTGAAAAGTCACTACTATCTTTATGTTTGTATTTCACAAGATACAAGCAACGAAGAAAACTGGAACTTTCAGAATGAACTACTTTTATTGAGGCTATTAGTTGTGCAAAGTTTCAAGTCAAACCTCAAAAATTAACTTTCAATGTGACCTGACGGGAAATACAGGGTTCAGTTGAAAAATGCAGTAAATATTCGATATCAGAAGAACAAAGGCCTGGAAAACTGAATCATATTCTAAACTTTTTCAACTCTCACCAATACTAGCCGAATGAACATAGTTCCAAATTAAAAAGTATTAAGCATCTCAAGAGATTTCCCTATGAGAGCCTCAAAGGTGGAAACCACCTATAGATTATGTTTAGGACCAAACAAGCAATATAGAAGTTTAAAAATTCATGTATTTGAGCTTGTATTGTCTATTGGACACCTAATAGGCCTAAACAGATAAGTATTTACTTTACAGACCACTCTAGATAGATCTACATCGAAGATTATATTTGAAACACCGTATCTTACAAGGGACTTAAGTGAGCATGTTTGCACATCTACGTAAAGCAAATAATGATAAGTCATATCAGATAGTAAATTAAAATACAAATAAAAGGCTTTGGAAAAACGGTGGAAAAGCATGAAATTATTCATTAGTCGTATATCATAAATAAGTTTTTGATCCTATTGCAGCAGACAGAACGTCAGAGAGGCGTTTAATATCTAGTAACCATATAACACTAAATAACCGCAAAATATCTAATGAATATAATTAGATCTTCAGTTTGAAACAGACATTTTGCTTATGGAATTCTATCAATGATGTTCACCTATTTTACCTAGTTTGTGATAATTGCTACAAGATGACTAGTCTCTTGCATTACAAACTAAGGCGCAGTTAGACGCAGAAATATAGCAGGTTTAATGTCAGGTACAACTTAGGTACAGATCTCAGAAATCTATTTTTTTGCGTGACTGTTCATTGTGACCCTTCCCTTTCCAGAATTTTTCAAGAAGGGCTTGACGAAAAACTATGGAGCTTTCAAAGTAGATAGGTCTTGATAAGTAGTGCAAGACTTATCATAAATTTAAAATTTCCAGATGCTTCTTCCAGGAAGACATGTGGCTGATAAAAAACCAGACAATGATCGGAAGTTTTTCCTGCTGAAAAACTCTACATTCAATTTTTTTGAGCTACATCTTCTTCTATGATAACTAGGATCAAATCGGAATGTATGTTTTTTTCTTTCAAAAATATTCTAGTGCTTAGGAAAAGTAAAACAATGATAACATCGTCAAAAAAAGTTCTTCCTTTGTTTCAATGGTACTAATTTTTTGAAGGCTGCCAAATTTCGTAGGAACAACATTTTGAAGAGAAAAAAATACGCATCCCGATTCGACTCCAATTGAAGACACCGTGGAAGGCAAAAAGGAGGAAAACTTAATTTTTTTTGATCAAAAATTAGTTTTAAGAAAAACCCAAAACAATCTAAAATTTTGTGTTTTTCGTCTTTCATCTTTTTTTCTCTTGTGTTCGTTTTGAATCATCACAGATCATCATGTATTGTGCATCAAATATGAATATAAAGAGCTGTGTCTAAGAAATATTCATAGAATTAATAAGCAAGATAAACTCACAAGATTGTCATTTAAAAAACTAGAAGCTTATTCTTCAAAATATGGGTTCTCGAAAGTGAGCTTTTTCAGGGCTTATACGATTTAGCACAGTTCCCATTTTAACGGCACTTGATAGAAGACATTTCGATACATCTTTACAAAATGGAAACTTTGAAATCGAAAAACCATTGTTTTCTTTTGGGTCAGGAAAGGAAGAAGTGTTTCGAAAGAAAAAACACCATTTTCCCTACGCTTTCGGACGACGACTCATCAGAAAATTTTGAAAGTTTGAAGACAGACACATCGTCATGAATGGAACAAAAAGTTGTCATAGATTCAAAATTCCGAGATACTTTTCCATAGGATATCTTGAAGTCGCAAATGTGAAAAACATCCTCTCCCTTTCTTATCGCCTCCTTTCTCAGTTACAACATATTTGATTAAGGTAAACATTTTTTCATTGCTACCGGACACATTGTGTGTTGACTAGATTTTATATTCGTTTCTTTCTGTCACATTTCTTCTGAGTAAAAACATTGAAATCGTAAGTTCACCATCAAAACTAGATTTTTTCTTTAACTGGAAGTGTCCTCTTTTTTTAAACTTTAGCAAGGACCAGCAGTACATTCTATTTTGAAACAAAGATAAAGTTGACTTCCTACATATTTTCTAGTATGACTAGAAGACAGTTAGAACTCGATTGGATGCATTGCGCTTAAGAAATGCAATGATTCTATGACTTATTTGGTGAAAAAGTTCGTTTTTTCAGACACAGTGAAAATACTCTATTTCGTTGTTTTTGGATTTTTATACTCGCGTATTGATTCATGAATTATTTCTAATAAATAGAGGACACTTCGAATCGTCTATAGAGCAGAAACAAAAACTAAAAAATGGAGAATCTAAAAATTTTTCGGTTCAGAAAGAGGAATTTCTTAAGTTTAGTATTCTGATTTGAATTAAACTAACGAATCAAAGTAAAAAGTCAATGCTGTTTTAAAAAATAAATGCCTTTTTATTTTGAATCGAACTAATATTCTCTTAGCACTGAAGAAAGGTACTAGTAAAAAGAAGTTTTTTCTTGATAATTTTACTTTGACACTTTTCCCACACTTTACAACTAATCTAAAGTACACTAATACAACAAATTCTTCATTTTGAATTGGATATAACCTAATGTATGAATGAAAATTGTACATATTGATCAACATTCGTGAAATAGAATCCTTATTATTAAAAAAAATAAAAAGTACCATTACAAATATAATCTTATATAAATTTAGGCTTCTATCATGAACAATCACGACCAGATCGCGATGATTACGTCAAAGTAATTTGGGACAATATCATACCAGGTTGTACAAATGTTGTTTTAGTAAAATTCTTGTTCGAAAATAACAGAAATATTTTAATTTTTTTAAACTGGATAGATATGGCATTTAATTTCAACAAATATAGTACCGATCAAGTGGATACTTTGAATACACCTTATGATTACGGGTCAATAATGCACTACGGCAGAGATTATTTTAGTATAAATGGTTCTGATACGCTTGTGCCACTTCAGTCGGGTGTTACGATTGGACAACGTGACAGTTTGAGTGCGATTGATATCGAAGAAATTCAAATTTTTTATGGCTGTACAACCGCTACAGCTCCAACAGCTGCCACCACCACTAAAATATCTACTACCTCTACTGCTAAAACGACTATCGCAACCACCATTAAGACATCTTCTACTACGTCTGCTTTTAAAACAACTACCACAACCACCATTGGGACATCTACTATACCCACTATTAATACAACTATCGCAACCACCATTGAAACATCTACTATATCTACTATTAAAACAACTATCGCAACCACCATTGGGACATCTACTATACCTACTATTAAAACAACTATCACAACCACCATTGGAACACCCACTATATCTACTACTGAAACAATAAAGACTATTCTAAAACCTGCTACCTCTTCTACTGAAATAACTATCACAACCACCATTGAGACATTCACTGCCTCTACTACTGAAACAATAAAGACCTTTCTAAAACCTACTACCTTTATTGATGAAACACCTATCACTACCACCACTAGGATATCGACTACCTCTAATACAAAAATAACTATTACTACCCCTATTACAAAATCTGCTACCTCTACTACTATAATTGCAACGACCGCCGCAACATCTACTACTTTTACAAAAACAGAAATCCCTGGTAAGGCACCCGCTTCCTCTAACACCATAACAGCTACAATCCATGCGACTGCATCTATAGTCTTTTGTATATCTATTAGAATAGGCTGTTAGATCATCCTTCACAAGATTCTGAATTTTATTTTTAGAGTTAAAAAATATCTAATCTATGTGCATAATAACATCCTTGGGGGACTATGACTGCAGTGCTGTGTATGACTGAGTAACAAGCCAAAAGGTTCTCCATTGTTCTTATTTTATTTGTTTTAAAAGTCAAAATTGTTCTTATTTCTATCAAATAGGAGTTTTTTTTTGAAAAAGTAGATGTCTCTGTTTGATCTAGCTATCACTTGAGTGATCCTAAAATGATCTGTTTATTGTCTTGTATATTTAAAGCAACGATAGATATCAACACTAAAGTAACTTATGTAGTCATTACATTTTGTCGAATAGTAAGCGATCTATCCTTATATTATAATTGAGATAGAAGCTCATCTTCGGATTGAGTATTCTAAATCTCATATTAATACTATGCGACCATTTTTCTAGTCCTGAAGATATAAAAAAAAATTTTTTTGTAGTCTATTTACTAATTAAGGGTAATTAGATGTTCTTGTTATTCCTTGCTAATAGTTGCATATTTCTATTTAATAGTAATTGGAAATTTAGACCAAGAGTTCAACCTCGTGTGTGATCAATGAAGATCATCTAGAACATGTTATATGCAGCAGAATCGACTTTTTCACTTACTAATAACTAGATATAAGGTCAAAGATATTGCCGATCATTTGTCTATAATTTCACGTGTTACTATCAATGAAATACTACGTAGTTAAATACTAAGATTAAATTAGTCTTTAACCGTGGATTATTTTTTTTACCTCTTTCTGAATAGTATGTGAAAGTCACGAAACATAATCATATTCATTTTATTATCTATTAGCTAGTATAAGACATTGTTAAGTTTCGACTCAAAAATTGTTTTTATCTGTATCATAAGACGAAAAAAGCTTCGTAAAAAAAATCTTAAAGTTAATAATGGCTTCTAAATTCGAACCGTTAATACGTATTTTTCTCTCATATAGCAACAATGTCTTCATATAATACAATATTGTACTTCGTATTAACGAGCAACAGTTTACAATATCGTCGTATTGATGGTCGATCATCGAATTATTACTATGACATAAAAGAAATAATTATCTCAGCGTCTGGCAATTATTCATTCACAAGTTCTAGTACTTTTGCTGCATATTGTTTTTTACATGCTAATAGTTTTAACTCATCTGATCCCTTGTTGAATTTGGTTGCTCAAGGTCATAAGAGTGCTGGTGATGGACAATATCAATATACTGTCTTTCTTCCATTTGATGATACGATGTCGAAGCGAGTATGTATAATTTTTCTTGATAATATAAGTTAAGTTTACATCTACAAGGAAATCAATATGAAATGTCATTTTAGTGCTAAAAGTGAACTATTATAAGAGAACACAAAACATTATTGAAGTAGAGAAATATGAAACAAACGAAAATTATTTAAAAAATATTGTTAGTTTTTTGAAGGCTCATATCATCTAGTCATTAAATTATAGCAACGGATATTTTTTTCAAATATCAATACATATAGAATCTATTTGTTATCAATAGTTATTCAGATTTGTATTTCTTTGATATTTATTATAGGCTATTAAGAAACGTGCTACTACAAAATACATTGTGGTGATATCTACAGAAGATGAAAGTGTCACTGGCTCATTATCACTTGTAATGAGTGGACCAGGTGTGATTACAGTAAAAACTCCAGACACTACTGCAATAAGTGTTCATAGTGAGTAATTCAGTTTTTTCACTGACATTTTTTCATTGGAAATTCTCAATTTCTTTGATTAAGTAATTAGAAAACCTGATGTTTTTGAGGATAGTAGTTAGATATAAACAATAAACTCTGATTTTTATAGAAGTGAGTTGATATTATTATATATAATCTAATGCTGATCTTGATGATGAATACTATAAACACCATAAATGAAATGACTTGCAATTCTAAAAAGTCGATTAACTTGATACATTAATCGACTCTGATTTCCTACTCCACTAAACAAATAGGCGAAATATATTTCTGTTTCAAGTTGTTAGAGAAAAAAGTCTGTTATTTATCAAACATCTTTATTATAAAATGCTTTGTTAGTTTTTGTTGAAAGAATAGTATGTATATATGAATCTAATCTGTGATTGTTTAGAAAATAATGAAGATGGCCTCTCCTCAGGAGATCTTGCTGGTATCATTGTTGGTAGCGTCATTGGTGGATTATTGGTGCTCATTTGTATAATGGGTCTTTGCATCATAGCTTGTTCTTGTGGTTTTTATTGTTGCAGAGGTAGACCTCTTCGATCTAACAAGGCATACATTTATAATGGCTTTCCTGTTCATAACAGTATAGGCAATATTATATTTCAATCTAATACCTTCACTGGCTTTTATTTCAAAGATGGTATATGGTATGAACCTCATTATTTTACACTTGCATTCTATCCTCAAGCTAACTATACTGTATATGGTAAAGGAAGAGATAGTCTTGGTTTATATGTTGCTAAAGGAGTCTATTCACCAAGAACTCTTCGCATGGCTTTTGATAAATACTATCAAACAGAATTTGGAAATGTAAGACAAAATCAAAATAAGAAAATGACTATTCAAGTTACATGGAATCCTTTTACACAAAGCTTTGAAGGCAAACATTATTTAAAAGACGGAAAATATGTTGAAGAACAACCATATATAATGCAAATAACAAATGTACCATACTTTCGATAGTCACATGTAAATTAATTGCTATCTGAATATGTGATGAAGCCATTTTTAATCAATATTGATATACTTTTATATTTGTTTCTTATTTTAACTTGATGACCTTTGTTTTACAAATTAAAACAAAATGTATGCTAGTATTAATACGAAAAGTTGCTTTTGATGAATAGTAAAAGTTGGCTAGCATGTCTAATATTTGTAAGCAGTGATTAACAAATAGTAAAGAAGATTTCGATGTGCATAGTATATGCTCAATAATGTCGAAACGAATTTATGTATCAATATAATCATGCTCAGTGCGTTAGCACTACGAGAGGTAGTAGTTGTTTTCACTAAAAAGAATTTGAAGAAGCAATATAAAGTTATTATAGGGCAGAATATTTTACGCCTCCTATTTATATTAGAATAAGATTGCTAAATCCAACATTTATATATGTATATGGGAAGGATCAGTTTGGTCGGATATCCTAGCTCTTTTTTTAGCATCTACTTGCTACTATCAGAATGTTATGATTTTTTTAAAATAATGTAGTACTCTTGTAGTGCTAACGATTTGTTGTTATTTCGATTATATATATATATATTTTTTGACGTAGGTGAAGTTAGCACCAGATTCGAGTAAATCCCGCCAAGATTCGCCCAGGAACATGTTCCAACTGTCCCAAGGTGTGTTCCAAGTACAACTCGATGAGCTCTATCGAATGGTGTATTCCAATTCCCGATAGCTAAAACACCGTCCACGAAAATCAGAAAATACTAGATTTTCACCATAGGTGATTTTGCATCCATCCACTAAAACCCGCCAAGATTCGCTCAGGAGCATGTTCCAAGTGTTCCATTCCTGTTCCAAGTACAACTTGACGCGCTCTATCGAATGGCGTGTTCAGATTTTTCATAACTCAAACTGAGTCTGAGAAAATTTGATAATACTAGAGTATCGGCACAAAAACTCTCGATTTTAGGCAGTAAATCCTGCCAAGATTCGCCGAGGAGCATGTTCCAAATGTTCCATTTATGTGCTTAGGATGGCTCACACATCTGTATACGATGGTGTATTGAGCTGTTTAATACCGCTAACCGTGTACGCAGAAATCGCAAACATGGACCCCACTATACATGACTTTGTCGCTGATACAGTAATATCAGCTAATATCTGTGAAGGAAGATGTTTGCAGATGCCCCATTCGTGTTGAAAGGAGTGTTTAAGAGGCTCCATGCTTTCGTAGATTGCAATGGTCGAAACCACAAACTATACTGTAGATAACGCGTGAAAAACTATTAATAGGTGTCTCATATAATATGTAGCGATGATACTTATATTGTAAAATTAGCCGAAATTCATTTAGAAGTACGTTTCAAATGTTCCATTTGTGTCCTAGATACAACTTGATTTGCCCTGTCAAATGTTGTATGCATGTTTTCAATACACTGAAATGCCTTACCGAAGTCTTTTATACTGTGGACACCAACCAAATAGGTCAATGAATTGTTTTGTTGCAGGGGAAAATTCGTTGTGAAATCTATTCTAATTTTGTTTTTTCTATCATATGCAGTAAATCTTCTATTTCAACTACCCGAGCAGACAAGCATGTCACTTTTTGTACTAATTTAGTATCAAAAAAAGTATGTCTAATTTTCTATATAACTTGTCCCCTTTGTACAGATTTTTTGCATCGAAATTTTTGATGGCAAAAAACGGCTGCTTTTTTTTCTCAAAAATAGTGAAAAACTTTTGAGCGTTTAAACGCATTAAAAAACATAAAATTAAGCGTCAAATTGTATGCAATTTTTTTGAACTATTTTCGAAAATTTTATTTTATGCGTTTATTAGTTGTATTTTGTGAATAACAGTTATCTGTGTTTCTCTTCTTGCTAGAGCGGTATGGAGTTTTTTACAACATCCCAACCTCAATTCAGTACATAGTTATATTTTACTTTTGAAAGAGTACTATCCAGCTCTACTTTTAGTCTCCACCATAAATTTCTAAAGAAGACAATCCTACAAAGAGTCCTATACATTTTTATCAACTGCATTTTTAGTGATCCAGTAATTTAAATTTTTTGTGTTATCTTTTCCAACTAGCTTAAAAACACATCTTCAATTATCTTAAATATTACTGACATGAAACGACATAGAACGTAGCAATGAAAGATTTAAACTGCTGTATCACTGAAAATGCATTTAAAAAAAGTGTATAGACCCTTTTTTAGGTAACTATCTTCCTCAGAAATTCATGGTCGAGTCTAAAAAAAGGAGCTTGGTCGTACCCTTACAAAAGTAAAGTACAACAAAGTACTGAATTAAGGCTTGCGTGTTGTATAAAAAACTCGATACCACTAAAGAAAGAAGAAGAACAGAAAGTACGAGTATACTAATGATCTAATGGTTCGCAGTTGAATCGTTCTTAGATTGCATCTATGAAATGACCTAACGACGAAGAACCCTATCATATTATGCTCAATTTGAATACTCACAATTTTCTCAAACGTCTGAACTCCTTGTAAACAAAATTTGTCTCTTTCAAATTTAAAATTCCTTTGTAAAGCGAATCTTTATGTGTAAAAAACTAAAACATTCTATCTGATCTATAGTCCGAGTAACTCTTAGATAAAAACATAACGAATTAACAACTCATTCGCAGCTATTAGAATAGGTGAGACTGACTGGAAATACCACAGTATTTTTTTTCTTCCCGTATGACGTAAGTAATTAAAAGTAATTTTTTATCCAAGTATGTTCCCTCTTCATTTTGATCTTGAAAGTGGTCTAAATAAAAAAAAAAATTCTTTCTTTTTAAATAAATGCGTTACTATTCATTATCTCGTCCAGATAGATCTAAGCAATATTTTTATATTCGCAATATTTTTCTATTTATACTTAGTGTTCATTTTGGTCTTAAGGTAGATCTAAATGAAAAAAGAAAACAATTTTTTCTCTAAACAATTACTTACCATTTATGTTGCTATAGATAGTGATCAAAATAAAAAAGATACATAAGTTTTCTCAAGAAGTGCTTACTGTTCGTTGTATTATTGAGATTAATTTGAATAATCAAAAATAAACAATTGTTATATATAAATAGTAAATATCGATTTTCATATTGAGATTGATCTAAATGATAAAAAATAAATTTTCTAAGAAATCAATTACTGCTTATGTTGATAGAGAAAATAATCTAAATCAAAGAAAATACGTAAGTGTCGTTAAAAATATTCACCACACATTGTGTTATTGAAATCTGTCTACCTAAAACAAATAAATAAACGAATAGATTTTATCTACAATCACTAAATTTGGTTTCCACGTTGAGGTCAATCTCAACAGGAAAACTTACATTTGAATAGATTTCTGATCGCGACAAATTATCGAAAATATTTACAATACTAGGGCCCTCTATAATATATCGTTTCGTATCTAAAGAATGACTAGTGCTCGGATAGTGTGCTAAGCTCTATTGAAGTGAAAAATGGATGAGCCCAGCTTTTAGCGTAGACTTCATCTAAACGTTGTGTATTTATCACTCTCAAATTTATCCTAAACTCAATTACCAGATCACGTATTAGAGCTATAAATTCATATAGTTCAAGGTGACTATGAGACTTTGACTTTGGAACAGGGTATATGTAGAACTGTAGAGGAAAACTTTCTCCATTATCTGATGTATATATATCTATATTATCAACCTCAATTGCGTTATGTTCATATGCCAGTTGGCAGCACTACACTCGCTATGTCTATAAAAGGATGTATTGAAGTTGGTACTCTCTACTCAAATATTAACAGCCTGCAAGAGTTTTACTATACACGCATCACTTGATGGAGGAAGTCTTCTTCTGCAAATGTACATGTATCCCACTGTGTAGTTAATGACTACTATGAACAGTGCATCAACCCTATCAAGACAGCAATTGCTTTCCTTACAGAAATTTTCCCGGAAGTGATAAACATTCATTGCTTCTTCAAATTGGTCATACTTTCTTTCGTACACTGTTGTAAAACTTCTCAATTCAACAAATATATTTAGTGTGACTACGTACTGGTTATATGACGATTGATCCAGTCTCATGTATGTTTGTTTTTAATCTTGATGAATACGTTCTCTGTTATTCATGTTCGACATGAGATCATATAAATAATAAAAAAAAAAACATTAATGCTATTTCAAATTGACTTTCTTTTTTCTAAAAGTTCCCTCTAACACTGGAATAATATTCATCCATTCTCACTAAAAGAATTAAAGTCAGTTCATAGACAGCGCACAAATATTACAATGAATAGACATTGGTCTCTCCAAAAACATTCAGAGGAGAGAGAAATAAAAACTTATTTCTTCCAAAAATTTCCAAGCGACCAAGTTTTACTAGAGTACGACTAATTGATCCAGCATATACATATCCAGGACGACTCTGTACTTAGTGTATAAAAATTCATCCATCGTATCATGATTTGGTTAATTTTTATCCTGTTGATTGTATTTCCTATTATAAATATCAGTGATATGATCGATCCTGTTTAAAAATTTTTCGGTTCGGTTCCAAATATTCGGAACGAATTTCTATCCAAATATTTATTTAAATACATTTAACTTTATTCGAGTGCTCTTACATCTTTTTTTCTTATTCTTTTCTTTTCTTCTCTCTCTCTCTTTTTCTTTCCTCTCCGACCGTAATAATTTCAATGAATTATCACACTTTTCTTCTGTCCTAAATGTTAGGACATTCTAACAAAAGAACACGTTGGACGTTATCTTTATATAACATAGTCTACGCTGGAGTAGATGACAGTTATTTATCTCTCTCCTTGTGTTTCATTTACTCTCTTATGTATGAAAATACATG